AGCTCATTTCTCGCTTTTTATCGACAAAAATAAAAGTAACCGAGCTCATTTGTATCTTTTCAGAATATAAACTAATTTCCGGGCTCAGAGCTCTCATTTATATAAATAAAATATAATTTTATTACAACCGAGCACTCATTTCTTTCATTTTAATGCCAATTAAGCATACCGAGCTCAAATAACACTTTTTTTTTGAGTTCGTTTAATCTCGCGTTCAATAAACATGAAGAAACTTTAATTGATCAATAATAATATATTTGTGATCGCATAAACCGTCTAAAACAGAGGCGAACAGTTGGAGAGGAATATATTTTTCTTATTTGCAAGTGGAATCAGACAGTGCGAATGAAATCTGGAAAGTATGCTACCACAGACTGCAACGCAAGGGGAAAAGCACGGAATCCTGAAATCCTGAAATTCTATGAAATCTAGTAGAATCCGGTGGAATCTGGGGAACTCCGATGGAATCTGGTGGAATCCGGGATTCTACACTTCTCCCGAAACAGAATAAAAGCGCTGTATATTTTGGGAAACTTTTCCCAGAAATAACATGTTCTGTTTTGGTGGAAAGTTTCAGGGAATCCAAGGGAATCTTATGGATTCCAAGAGAATCCTATGGAATCCTAGGGAATCCTTGGAATCATAGAGAATCCTTGGAACCATAGAGAATCCTTGGGAATTCAGGATTCTAGGATTCCGTGCTTTCCCCCTTGCAGCAACGACAATCGTAACCGTCGATCACCAACTACAAAGTAACAGAGTACAATGAGAAAGACTATACGGTGTGGTCAGCTAACTCTGCTGCTGTAACAGAATTCATAACCGTTTTTCATCAACTTGCTTTGCCTACAGTTCCTAAAGTGACTGCCGGAGTGTGTCATGGGACATCTTAAATTGAAGAGAGAAGTCTGATAAACATTTCAAAACTTTTTCAGCCTTACAATATGTATCGTTAGCAAACTATAACCTAAACATCGAACACTAGTTTCACAAAAATTAAATTTGAAAAAAAATTACACAAAAAGTTATAGAATTCTGTTACTGTAGCAGAGTGAGCTGATCTCGCCTTATATATGTATTTATAGGCGCCATCAATGTGAATCTAAAACAATGGTCCATCTCGTTATGTACGCCATCAGTAGCATACGTTCGTCTCTGTCTTAGCCGTCGTGATGCTTTTTGTTTACCAATGTTTGGCAAATTTCATCGACAGATGGATGTGGCTTTTGTTAAGTCCATCACGGTTTCTGTTGCTCTGCATGAAGATGATGTAGCTTTTTATAAGACATAACAGAGATAAAGAAGAGTTCGTTAAAGCATTCGGCAACGAATGAGCTGAATATGCGTCACGCAACAGAAGCATTATTCGAGAACTCGATTAATTTAATATATGATGCACGCTTTTTAATAACAAAATTTATCCAAGAATCAATATAAACAAAAACAGTAGCAGAGACAGTCTACTGAAGTTATTATCAAAATTACTACTATCTAATAATCGCTTACGATGAACAATGGTTAAAACACACAAAAAGTCAGATAAAAAAAATATTTTTATCATCATTACTATTGTACAAGATGTAGTAAACTAATCGATACCAAAAGTATATCTCAAGATGGCCAGGTTGTAATCAGGCAGCGCCTGTAATCGACTTTCGCCTCTTGAAAATGAGAAAAGGTTTCTTGGGAGGTTGACTGTGTGCAATCTGAACTGTTTGTGTTCTTCGCTGGCTAGTCGACTATCGACATCATCTTCATACCTCGAGTCGAAATAAAATATTTCTTTCAAACAAACTCTTTTGTCGGATCACCTCGACTGAACAGTCGAAACATCAGTTGACATGTTATTCCGAGAAAAGTTTTCTTCGGCGACAATTCTTCAATTCGAATCCGCAGGACTTTCACAATAAAGATAAATTCATTTTTTTTGTTTTATTGACGAAAAACTCTCTTAGTCTGCATTTTTTTTATATAAAAAAACATGTTTAAGTACCGCCACAGTTCTCACCCGATCCAATCTCAATTCATCATCTTTTTGTTCCAACTCCGTCCAAGAATTTGAATAGTGCCGTAATCACTTTCTCCGGTTGTTCTTCCTGTACCCAATGTCCTGCACCATCAATCAATTCCCATCCTCTCCAATCTTCGCAAACATCTTTCGTACCCATTTTCTTCATAGAACCAGGTTCCAACTGATTACCCCAATCATTTGCTCCAGAAAGAAACATAGCAGGACATTTAATTTTCATTCCGCTGAAAACTTTCAATTGATTTTGGTCGTAACCACTTGTCATACACTTGTAATGCTGGAGACCACCTCTGAACGAGCTACGTTGATATTCATCACTATACATCTGAAGGTCATCTTCGGTTACCCATGCCGACATTTCTCGTTGAAGTACGATAGAGTCAGGCACGTTGGATAGAACTGTCTCTGGCATTGTACTTTCGAGCTGCATCACATAGTATCCTGGCAGTTTACACAGTTCATCGGCGTTCCATTCTTTTAATTCAAAAATATTCTTGTTCTTTGGATGTTCAGCTGATTTAAAGTAGAGATAGCCACGGAAGAATTCTTTTAGACCTTGTTTAGCGTTGATCATGTCTGAATCGGCCTGTTTCACGGACGAAAAGTACCATTGATAATGTTTTTTTCCTAAGTGTTTGAGTGCGTCGATAACTGGTGTTCTTGACGGAGTATCTAGAGGAGGTGGTCCTGAGTATTGTGCGGACATCATGATCAAGGATTCGAAAATGTCCGGTCTTATCAATGCCAAATTTGCTGCAATACCTAAACCGAGGTCGTGTCCCATGACTGATCTTACTTTCGTCTTGCCCAGTCGATAGAGAAGTGTGATGATGTCCTGACACGAATTGAGCATACTGAATGACGTAAAATCATCGTCGTTGTTGTTATCGCTGCTGGTAGTACGTCCGTATCCTCGCTGATCAGGTGCTATAACATGGTAACCTTGTTCGGCGAGAGGCATCATTATTTTTCGCCATGAGTAAGCTAATTCTGGGAAACCGTGTAGAAGAAGAAGTAGAGGACGACCGTCGTCGTTACCAGCTTCGAGAATATGCATACGTAAACCATTGACATTGTCGATAAAACGAGATTTGATGCCTGCAGGCAGCGCTGTAGAATCTATTGGAGGGAGAGTGGACATCTTCAACTTCTTAAAACATGAAAAAACGTGTTGTTTCTACTACTAATGTGCACCTTTGATCAAAAGTTATATGTGACTATGACTGATTTGATACGTACAGCGTGTTCGCTCAAGCGATAAAGAATAAAGAAAATAAAAACGTATCAATATGTGACTGAAGCTTAGCTGAACGGCGTAACGAAAAGGAGGAGTAGCTTTACCGCCAGTCTCAGTATTGATGTTTATTCGACTCTGATCTACTACCGCGTGTACACGACTCCAAATGCACACTTCCCAAATGTATGCCTATCCAAATGCATCTATCGGAAGATTACAATATAAAGAGAATGAGGCGCAATCACGCATAAAGGATATTACGAGTGTACGAAGCCTAATATCGATTGTATAACAAGACAAAGATAGGAGAAATATCACGCAATTAGAATTCCAATTTTGATCAACTTGAAAACATGAGAGTCCGGACAAAATTAGAATTTTCCTGTGTAAAAGAGATTACAGCTGATAAAGGTAAAACGTTGGTGCTCTCCGTTAAAATCTGAATTTCTCCATAAAGCTCCATGTTCTCCATAAAGTAAACCGTGAATGAATTAATATACTTCTCTACTTCTTCATAAAAAAGCGTCTCATCGTTATTTACTTGAATTGTTGTTGCACTCGATGCTGTCATTTTTTTCAATATGGAACAAGTAACATGATAGTGTAAGGATGATACATCTGTATATATACTGTTAGTTGACATAGCCAGCTATGACTAGAACATTCTCTACTTTTATTCTCCAGTTACTCAGTTTACCTTTGTTCCTGATAACTTATTTTCATGTTTTGTTGTAACTTACTACCCCCTTACTCTTCTTTCTATTTCAATAGAATAGTCATATCTGGCTCTTAACAGCTTTTCTCCTTTCCTCTAGCCGTATAACTTATACGGCTAGAATGAATTCATTCATTCATGTTATACGGTATAACAACTATAAAAGACACTTTAAAATCTTTATACTGTTTAGATTGTGTATTTTGGAGAGATTGTGGAGAACATGGAACTTTATGGAGAAATTCAGATTTTAACGGAGAGCACCAACGTTTTACCTTTATCAGCTGTATCTTTTACACAGGAAAATTCTAATTTTGTCCGGACTCTCATGTTTTCAAGTTGATCAAAATTGGAATTCTGATTTTGTCCGGACAGAATTGGAATTCTAATTTTGTCCGAAGAAACTCTGGACAAAACTAGAATTCTGATTTTGTCCGGACGAAGTTAGAATTCCAATTCTGTCCGGACAAATTCGGAATTTGACCGAATTCTAATTCTGTCCGCAACATATATATACATATATATAACTATGCAAGAATGTCGTCATCTGTGTGTGTCGATAGGCATGTCACGCGTACACGATATCGCCCTTGCCCTTTCCCTTCAACCTGTGTTTAGTTGAGGTAACTGTTTGACTCTTAGTAAGAGTCTCTTACTGTCCTCTCTGCATGACTACGCCTCGCTCTCTCTCTTCTTCGAGTGATAAAGATAAACGATAATGCTAATAATTAATAAAGTTGAAATACGGCTTAAACGCGCGTGACGGAATTACATTTTTTCAACTTTTGGGCTCTGTTTCTCCTCAAATACTGAACAAAAGATGACGAAATTTTTATCAGAGATGTGCGGTAGGGCTGTCGGAGTTCCGTTAAGTTTGTACTAACTACTAACGAAAACAGTTAGTAGTTATTTAAACTATGAACTGAAATAGTTAGTCAGTTAGTCAAACTACTAACTAGAAAGGTTAGTAGTTAGTCTAACCACTAACTTAAACAGTTAGTCAGTTAGTAGTTAGTCTAACGGCTTGTAACTACTAACTTCTTCAAAAAAATAGCAGCGCTTGGATCTACTCTATTGGAGTGCGCATGAGAACTAGATGAAATTTTTCTGCTAGTTTTGACGTCAAACAGGCTGTTGGAATAGACTATTGCAAGAGTATAAGAGTTCGAATTTTTCGAAAATTTTTTTGAAAACGAACGGAGCAATCCAGGACCGGTTTCGACCTTGCTCAAGGGTCTCTTCAGCTGGGTTATGGTGTGAAACATGGTGGAGAAAATGAATGCACGTACTTACGTGTCTTGTTTGTCGAATAGTAACATCTTATCTTGTTTAAATAAGAAGTTATGCTCTTCTTATTGAAGAAGAAAATAAAGCACATTTCTCTATGGATAAAAAGAA